ATTGCTTGAGCTCAGGAGTTGAAGACCAGCCTGAGCAAGAGCAAGACCTCGTCTCTACTAAAAACAGAAAGAAATTGGCCAAACAACTAAAAATAGAAGAAAAAAAAAATTAGCCAGGCATGGTGGTGCGTGCCTGTAGTCCCAGCTACCTGGGAGGCTGAGGCAGGAGGATCGCTTGAGCCCAGGAGTTTGAGCTTGCTGTGAGCTAGGCTGACGCCACGGCACTCTACCCCGGGCAACAGAGTGAGACTCTGTCTCAAAAAAAAAAAAAAAAAAAGTAAATAAATAAATAAACAAACATGAACAGATGAGGAGTTGCTTCTTATAGACAAGCAAAATGGTTTCTTTTTTTTTTTTTTTTTTTTGGTTTCTTGATATGGAATCTATTCCTGGTGAAAATGCTGTGACCATTGTTGACCTCCTACAAGCAAAAAGATTATGACTCACTGAAGACACAGATGATCATTAGCATTTTTTAGCAATGTATTTAATTAAGGTATATACATTGGTTTTTTTATACATAATGCCACTGCAACTTAACAGACTATAGTATAGTGTAAATATAACTTTCGTATGCACTGGGAAACCAAAAAATTAGTCTGACTAGCTTTACTAAGATATTCACTTTACTGCGGTGGTCTGGCACCAAACCTGCAATATCTCTGAGGTATGTCTGTACTTAAATGCTGACTGATCAACTACCATGTCTTTAAATATTGTTTTTATGCCTACAATCCCAGCACTTTGGGAGGCCAAGGTGAAAGGATCACTTGAGGCCATGAATTCTAGTCAAGGCTGGGTAACTTAGCAAGACCCTATCTCTACAAAAAATAAAAAATAAAAAAATTAGCCAGGCATGGTGATGTGCACCTGTAGTCTTAGCTGTTCAGGAGGCTAAGGTAGGAGGATCACTTGAGGCAAGTAGTTCAAGGCTGCAATGAGCTATGACTGCGTCACTGCACTACGGCCTAGGCAACAGAGCAAGATTCCATCTCTATTTAAAAAGAAAAAATAAGTTATCTTTATGCTGATTCCCAAATGTACATCTCCAACTCAGACTTCTTTCAACTCCCAACCGTATATCCAACTGTTTACTCGACATCTCTATTTGAGCAACCAGGATCTTTTTATTTTTTTAGTTGATTCAGCAGGTGAGTTTTGTTACACACTCCTTAGCAGATTCCAACTTCCATGGCCACTGGCCTGCCAGTAACCAGGATCTTAAGATATCTTCTGCAACCTGTTTCTCTTCCAATAATCCCTAATGACACCAATCATCCCATTGCATAAGCCAGAAATTTAGGACTTAATTTTGACTCTCTTTCCATCATTCTAAATACAACATCAAGTTCTGTACATATTCCCTTTTTGGTATCTCTCAAATCAGTCTTAGTTCTAAATCATCACCATTGTATTTCACCTGGACTACCACAGGTTCCTAACTAGTCTCTCCACTTCCACTCTTGTATCCTTCAATTCAGTAAACAAAGAACTGAAGTCAAATCATCTCTTTTCCAATGCTTAAAAAACTGCAATGGTTTGCCAGTGTACATTAAAGGATATAAATATTAAAATTCCTTATCACACCCTACTTGCTTGTATGATCTGTTTCCTACTCTCCAACCACATATCCTCACTTATGTCCTCCAGAACACAGACACTTTCTCAGTCCATGATCTCCCCCATCATCATCCTATCCTAACATAGAGCCTTTCCAAAAAACACCCCTCAATTATCTATCTAGCAAAATTCTATTTATTCAAGACAATTTATGTATCACCTCCTCTGGGAAGCCTTTTCTGATATCCTTCTTCCTTCCCATGTCTTCTTTCCCAATCCTAAGCAAAAAATTAGGTTTACTACCTCTGATTCCCATCATATTCTACAACAGTCATTACTGTATTTGTCAAAACAGAGGAGGTAAGTTTAAAATTGATGGTTTGCTACTCCCATGAGACTATGTGCTTTTAAAGGCGAGGTACTAGCCAGGCGTAGTGGCTATGCCTATAATCCCTGCACTTTGGGAGGCTGAGGCAAGGAGATCACTTGAGGCCAGGAGTGTGAGACCAGCCTGAGCAACACAGCAAGACCCTGTCTCTACAAAAAGTTTAAAAATTAGCTGGGCATGGTAGCACGTGCCTGTAGTCCCAGCTACAGAGGGAAGCTGAGGCAGGAGCATCACTTAAGCCCAGGAGTTTGAGGTTGCTATGAGCTAGGCTGATGCCACAGCACTCTGGTCCAGGGGTCAGAAGGAGATTCTGTTTCAAAAAAAAAAAAAAAATGGTTAGAACATAAAGAAAATTATTTCATTGTTCATAAAGATTTCTTCACACTAAGACTTGCTTAGATTATCTTTCAATACCACTTTTATTCATTGTTTTTATGGCTTTAGTGACTGAAGATTTTATGTAAAATGTGAAGAAAAGCTCACAAACGGGAAGAATCAGACAACCTAAACAAAAAGTAACTACAGAACCTCCTCTTCCAATAATTTAAATAGTCAGGAAGACATATTGTAAATACGTACATAAAGAATAAGCACTCATAGCTTACTATTAATACCTACAAAATCCTTCTTGTCCTAAAACTACCTTCTAGAAAAAGCAATAAGTTGAAGTCAGTTAAAATTTAAAACTTTTCAGGCCAGACGCAGTGGCTCACGCCTGTAATCCTAGCACTCTGGGAGGCCAAGGCAGGAGGATCGCTTGAGCTCAGGAGTTCAAGACCAGCCTGAGCAAGACCGAGATCCCGTCTCTACTAAAAATAGAAAAATTAGCCGGGCATTGTGGTGCATGCCTGTAGTCCCAGCTACTAGAGAGGCTAAGGCAGGAGGATCATTTAAGTGCAGGAGTTTGAGGTTGCTGTGAGCTAGGCTGATGCCATGGCACTCTACCTAAGGTAAGACTGTGTCTCAAAAAAAAAAAAAAGAAAAAAGAAAAGAAAACTTTTCGCTCTTCAAAAGAAACTGTTAAGAGAATGAAAAGGCAAGACACAGACTGGAGAAAACATTTGCAAAAGCATATATTCAACAAAGGACTTGTATTTACAATACAGTCATGCACCTCATTTTGACTTTTCAGTAAAAGACAGACATGATGGCCCCATAAAATTATAATGGAGCTGCCCTGTTACAGGTGTACCATTTTTATCTTTTATACAGTATTTTTACTGTACCTTTTCTATGTTTAGATACGTTTAGATACACAAACACCACTGTGTTATAACTGGCCTACGGTATTCAGTACAGTAACTTGCTGTATAGGTTTGTGGCCTATGAGCAATAGGCTATATCAAATAGCCTAGGTGTATAGTAGGCTATACCATGCAGGTTTGTGTAAGTACACTCTATGATGTTCACACAACAAAGAAATCACCTAATGACACATCTCTCAGAACATATCCCCATTGTTAAGACATATGAGTATATACAAGGAACTCTAACAACTCAGTAAAATTTGGGAGGCCAAGGCAGGAGGATCGCTTGAGCTCAGGAGTTCAAGATCAACCTGAGCAGGAGTGAGACCCCCATCTCCACAAAAAATAGAAAACAAAAATTAGCCGGGCGTGGTGGTACATGCCTGTAGTCCCAGCTACTTGTGAGGCTGAGGCAGGAAGATCGCTTGGCCCAGGAGTTTGAGGTTGCAGTGAGCTATGATGACAACACTGAACACTACCCAGGGTGACAGAACAAGACTCCATCTCAAAAAAAAAAAAAAAAAAAATCAGGAACAGATTTGGACACTTCACAAAAGAAGGTATATGAATAGCCAAGAAGCGCATGAAAAGATGCTCAACATTAAACCACAATAAAATATTACTACGCATCTATTACAATGGCTAAAATTAGAAAGACTTAACATACCAAGTGTCGGAAAGGATGTGGAGCAAATGGAATTCTAATATATTGATGGTGAGAATGCAAAATGTTACCAACCTCTTTGGAAAAGAGGTTGGCAGTTTCTTACAAAGTCAAACATAGACCTACCATATGATCCAGTCATTCCTCTCCTAGAGATTTACACAAGAGAAAGGAAAAGTATATGCCATTCAAAGAACTGCACATGAAAGTTCATAGCAGGTTTATTTGCACTAGCAAAAACTGGAAACAACCCAAATGACCAACAACAGATGAATGGATAAATTGGGGTTTATCTATAACAATGGTATACTACTCAGCAATAAAAAGGAATAAACACTGATACATGCAACAATCTGGATAAGTATCAAAATAATTATGCCGAGCGAAAGAAGCCAGACACATATGCCCCAAAAGAGTACATACTAGGTTTCCACCTATTTAAAAAAAATTCCAGAAAATACAAACTAATCTATAGTGACAGAAAGCTGATCAGTGGTTGCCTGAGGGAGGGAGGGATTACAAAGGGACAGGAGAAAACTTTCAGGGGTGATGGTTTCATAGGAGTTTCATAGAAGACATATATATTCAGTCAAAATTTATCAAACTGTATGCTTTAAAGTTTATTGTGTATCAAACTCAATAAACATGAAAAAATCCACAATAAAAATCATTTAAAAAACAAAAACCTTCCAGATTCCCAGTCTCCGTGTGGGTGTCAACCCATTTCACCGCTAGGAACCGCTTCTCTTCCTTAGCCCTCCTCCATCTCAAAACTGACACTCGGTCCCTTCTCTTCGAGGGGAAAGTTGAATCCTGAAAGGTTCACAAACTTCAGACTAAGCTTCAACGTACTGCCCAATGTATTCCTAGATCCTCTGCTCATGCCATACAAACCTCCTACCTTCCCGTTAGCAACACTTAGCCACACAGGAATAATGACAAGTGTCCCCCACACACCCTCCACCCTCTCCCGTCCGTGCTCCCAAACACTCGTCCACGAAGCTTCATACGACCCAACACATCTAGGTCCTAAAATGCCATTCACTAATGGCCACGGAACCACCGAAAGCTGCTCTCCTCATCGGCCCACCCCCGAATCCATGCGAGCGCGGGGATTCGAACATTCCAGCTCCCGGGTTACCTGCCACCGGCTGGCCGCGCCGCGGACAGTTTAGCCACCGCGGCGGGATCTTGTTGTGAGCCATGTCTTGGGGGGCCGCGCAGAGCCGCCCCCTTCACCAACGCTCGCTGAGCCTTTGCCGCCGCCTCTCCGCAGTTGGGTCAGCACCGGAGGTCCGAGACACCTGAATCCCAATAGGGACCCGAATTCCAGCCGCTCCGATCCGGGTAACGTCAGCAGCGCGCCACTTTCATTCAGGCTCAACTCCCCGGCTCTGAGCAAGCCCACAATACACCGCGACTTCCGCCTCTGGGGGCCCCGCCCCCTTCTTTCCGAGGTCAGAGGGGAAGAAAAGGAAGCTCGGCGGAGGGATAGCAAGGAGTTAAGGCCGAGGGGATTGGAAGGGGCGGGTTTCCCTCTCTGCCCCGCCCCGCTGACGGGCCGCTGTGCTCCCCGCTCGCCCTTGCGCACGCGCAATCGGCATCGTACTGGACTCCCGCAGGTGGACGCGTTTTTTTCCCACGTAGACAACCGCGTGAAAGCTCCCCAAATGAGAAGAAGCCAAGCCTCTTTCCACACGAAGATTGGCCCGCTGCTTTCATAAAGGCATTTGTTTTACTGATGAAAGGGGCCTTCCCACCGCTATCACAGCTCAAGCTTGGTGTTCCGGCCGGATCTGGGTTTGATTTGCAATTTGGGAAAGTCCTCCGTCCGACGTTAGGTTCAGCGGAGCAAGTTTTAGGGAAATTCTAAGGGCGTAATATTGGAGTACCAGAAATGGGGAATTTTTCTTTTGATGGGTGCTTCTAAAAATCCATAAGGCATCTGAAATTAATTCCAAAACATTTTAAGAGTTTTGTTTGTGCATTTCTGGAGCGAAGTTTAAAAAGCATATTCGAGAGTCTCAGACGGTCCATGTTTCAAAAAAAATTACTGATTAACGTGTATAATTGGCAAAGGCAGGAATTTCCCAGTGGAATACAACTTCATGGCGGTGTTCTCTTTAGCCTTACAAAGTCCTTTTTATTTTTTCTTCGAGTTAAGCAGAGGTACTTGGAAGCATTTTATTAATGCTGTCCTTTAATGAGATTTTCTTTAGTTGCCAGACTCCGTTAAAGTGTTAAATATAAAGCTGAATAATGGCAGATTAATTATAAAGTAATTTGACTTTAAGCACCGATGCTGTATGTGAACTGCAAGAATGTGAGGCTGCAGGGTATACATTTTCAGAGAGTCAGTGGGGAGTTTCTGGACAGCTGAGCCCTTGAATACCTGGACCCTCTCAGTAACAGTCGTGTTAGTAGAGAGGGTCGGATGATTTTCTCTCTCAGGCAGTCTGAGTTAGGTCACACTCCTGGTCTGTCCGGCTGTTACATCTCAGACCTTTTTGTGAAAGTGTCACTCTTTCCCTGATAAGACAATGTAAGAACCAGTTTCCTTACAGTTTGTCCAAATGATGCCCAATTAATTCCCTTATCTGTTGTCAGGGTAGAGTGTGTACAATGTTCAAAGTGGTAAAATATTTGATTCCCAAACCCCCTCCAGCATTGGGAAAGGTGAACCTGGTCCAGGAAGAATATTTCACTTTCTTCTGGGGAGCATTCCCATTGGAGACTGTCCTACCCTCACATACTGTGTCCACCCACAGAGCTCAGTCCTAGGCACAGGGAGAGCTTCATATCACTGATGAGCAGCTGTAACTGGTTGTAAGGCAGCAAAATGTGTTTAATTTTTACTCCACTATCCAGTTACACCCTCTCCATACTCAGCGCCACAGATTGGCTCCCATATTCCTACAGTAGACGGTAGAGTAGGAGAGTGGCATCCAAATGAATGGGTAGTTTCTCTCTCCCTACCAGGAATCTCTTGCCTAGTGGATGTTTCTGCCTAATATGGCTCCTAGTCCCACGTTTCTGCTATTTGGCAAGAAGAAAAAGATGCCCACAGAGGGACCAGCATGACTCCTCCCTGGCTTCCTGGAACCCACAACTCACCCTCCCAAATATGTCCTGGCCTCCTCTTTATTGGCTGTAGATTGTTTTCATGGGTGAATTCTTCCATCAAACATCCATTTCACCCATAAGGAAAGGTTTGTAAGGGTAAATAAAAATAAGATTGAACTTTTCCTACTTCCTGGTTGGCAAAAGGGAAAAGAGACTTTTCCCCTTTCCCTTTTCTTACAGCATTTCCTTGAGAAAACTTGTGTTTATAAATCCTTCCTTTTCACCTTGATATGTAGATAAATCTTTTTAAGAGCTAAGTAAGCCTCTTACCTGCCTTACAACTGAGGAATGTTTTTCTTAGGGTCTGGGAGCTATCTCTGAAATGTAAACATTAAGGAAGATAGTGTCCCTATCTCCCTGTCACCTTGGGAGTTTAGCCTAATGCACCTTGTTCCTACCTGCTGGTGTTAGAAATAGGAAAATTTGTCTACAGCCATACCACCCTGGTCATGCCTGATCTTTGAAGCTAAGCAGGGTCGGGCCTGCTTAGTACTTGGATAGGAGAAATAGCAAAATTTTATTTTTCTTGCCGATAATGGCAATTAACTAACATAGATGGCCACTGCCAATAACAAAGTGAAACTAGGATGAACTATCAAAGAATGTATAGCAAGTGGTACTGCCAAGTCCTCTTACATGAGAACAAATTGTTTTTCTTGGGAACATGGATGTAATGGATTATGTGTGCTTAGCTATATAAAAAAGTGAGATTTCTATCTTTGCAGTCTCATTAGCGGATTGCCTGTGATGTGTATCGCAGTCTGATTTAATGTTTCTGTAATAATAAGACTTTTCTTTTTTTAAAATATACATTTATGGATTATGTGTGCTTAGCTATATAAAAAAGTGAGATTTCTATCTTTGCAGTCTCATTAGTGGATTGCCTGTGATGTGTATCGCAGTCTGATTTAATGTTTCTGTAATAATAAGACTTTTCTTTTTTTAAAATATACATTTATGGAGCAGATATTCTGAGTTGGCAGGAGATTTTATTCCTAATTTTTCCCCGGAAAGTGTTTATGCCTCACTGAACTACTAAAGGCTATCGCAGAAATGTGCCTCCTCTGAGACCGAACGGTGCTCTCTCAAGCCTTGCTGTGGAATTCAGTCTGCTGCTCCATGCATGTCCAAGAATGATTGATTAAGGGTCAAGCCTGTTTTTTCCACTAGCCAGCTCTCCAAGGTATGTGGAAGGATGCTCCCATCTGGCTTCCCAAAAGTCGGCAAAGTGTCAAAGAGGGACATTAGTTTTTTTTTTTTTTTTGAGACACAGTCTCACTCTGTTGCCTGGGCTAGAGTGCCATGGCATCAGCCTAGCTCACAGCAACCTCAAACTCCTGGGCTCAAGCAATCCTTCTGCCTCAGCCT